AAAAGAAAATAAAATACAATGCAATAAAATAATAAAATTAATGAGATTAAATTAAATTAAATAAAAAAAGTAAAATATATAAAAAAAAATAAAAATAAAAAAAACTTATATACATTTTCTAGTAAAAATTCACACACTTTCATAGTATGCATTTTTGCATATTAGACATTATATCTTCCAATTGTTTCATATTTTACTATTACACTTGCATTGGCCAAGGTTTCAATTGTTGAGGAAGACATACCTACTGCATCTAATAAAAACCCAACCTCTACCTTAATCCCATTAATAAATTTATTATTAAGTTCTGATAAAAAATACTAATCGTTTTTTATTTTTTTCATTAGTAATATAGCTTTTTGTTTGCAAGTTAGTTTCAGCAACTAAATGATCAAAAAAGCCTTTCAAAGAAGGTTCTGATTCTTCAAGCATTTTTTTGAATTCTTCTAGATCAAGAATAGATCTTTTATTATATGAATGCTATCTTGTGTATAATATCCCTACTATTAACTTAATTTTTTTGCTAAAGGAAATAGACTCTAAAAATAGTAGTTTTAAGTAAATTTTTAAAAATTTAATTTCTTTTTTTATTTATTATTATTATTTTTTTTGTTTTTGTTTTTTAAATTGTTTTTTTTTATTTAAATATAATTTTCTTACCTAGCTTCGCTTTGTTAAGCTCTGTGCAAACTTCATAATATGCAGATTTCAACTTCTGAAATTGAGATTGAGAGTAAATAATATCATTTTGTAATACATACAACCTACCCTGAAAATTTCTAATATCATTTTTTGAAATTTTTACTATTAGCAGTAAATAGTTCAACAAATTGATATATTCTGGATCATCATCAGTTTTGTATAAGCAATATCAGCACATCATTGCTTCTTGTGGCAGTTCAAAGATATTGATTAAGCATTCAGGAGTCTTCTTTAGACTTTTTGTCTTTGTATCTTGCTGGGCTGTAGAAAGATAAAACTAATATTTTGGATAAGAATATATCTTGTTTGTTTTAGTCTTTTTAGCAGCATTTACAATTAATTTATTATAATGCTTTCTATATAGAGCCTTTTCAACCAAATCAAGATATTAACTAGAACTTGGTATTGATACCTGATCAGATATAATAGAAGCCCTGTGCTTCTCATAATTACAGATAACATTTTCTTGGCCTTCTAAATTGCAGTATTGGGCCTTCCTTTTTGCTGTTGTAAAGGGCAGAATTAACCTAGTTTCTCCAAATATAGTCTTTACAGATATTAACTAATGCTAAACTAATCTAAATCAATATTCTAACAACAAAACTCTACCTAAACCCTAATGGTAGAAGGCACAAAAGAGGTATGGAAAGACTTGGTCCGAGTTATTAGAGCCAAATAGAGCTATAGATTATGTTATGAGGCTTTAATTCAGGATCATGGGATTAGACTACTAATTCTATATGAATTGAACTTATTAGAGGAGTAATTATAGCAAATATTTAAAGTTGGAATAGTGAACTCTTCATTGAATTGAACTTTAATGAGTTATAGATATAGAATATTAACTAGTAATAGCTAGTCATTACTTTATTCAGAGCAAACTTTTAGCTTTTATATATACTTTTTAGCTATTATCTAATTTGCTAATTTTATCTAATATATATAATGTATCTAATATATATAACTTATATAACACATGTGACATATTTAATAGATAGAACATATATAATATATATAACAAATATAATCTTTCTAACATATACAACATATCTGTCAAGTTTGATATATCTAGCAGATTTAACAGATCTGTTAGATCTTTTCTGATCTACCTCGATCTACTATAGCAAAAAAATTATTTTAAACCACAATTCACTCTTTTATATACTCCTATCCTTAATTTAGAGTTTCATGAGAAAAGAACCAAATGTGGAGATAAAAATAAAAAAAAAAGTTTTTTTTTTTTTTTTTTTTTTTTTTTTTACTCACCCTCAATATTGTTGTTATTGATTTCATTTGAGTTATTTTCAAATGCAGTATGCATCAATACAGCAGTTACTATAACCTGAAGCAACTGCTTATACTTCTGAAGTAATAAGGTTGCAAATTTTGTCAAATTTATAGAGGTGGTCTGGCAGATTTGTTCAACACCTACAAGCTCGAACAATTCTTGGACACAAACAGCAGCTATAAAGTAGTAGAGTATCATTCTTGCTCACTGCACTATTCTTTGTTCTGAAGTTAGTTAAGCAATCATGTTATCTAAATAATAGGTATAAGTTAAACTGTCTATTTTATTTTTGCTTCTTGAAAACCTAGTCATAGCTTGATAAGTTTTTTGCATGTGTGTTTCGAAAGTGTCTGTTTTAGTATATAAAGTCAGGAAAGGTATTACCTGTTTTGGTTGGGTAGCCAGAAGGTTATTGACAAAAGAACTAAAATTAGTAATCATCTTTAGTCATTTGGGTTGTATATTGCAAGCTACTATTCCCCTATTTATATATCTTCTTCTTTTACTCTTTTTTTTTTTTTTTTTTTTTTTTTTTAACTTCCTATTCTACTTTGCAAAGCTTATATGTGCCTTTTGTAAGGTTAGTATAAATATAAGATAGCCTTATCTGTTTTAGTATTAGCTTGTGGCTCCTAGTATTCATAACTTCATGAAATACTTTTTTTCCTATTGAAGAGTCAAGTGGCTTTAAGGATATCTCATAGCTTTGAAGTGATAGTACGAATTTGAACTTGATCTGAACTACCACAGCATTGATCACCATTATCTTCTTAGAAGCTTTTTTTCAATTATCAAGATGCTAGACCACTGATTACCTAGGCTAGATTTTAACTTAATATCAGATTTTTATTATTCATGATAGGCTTTTTTATCTTGGAAGATGCTTTATGTTTATCTTTTCAATGCCAATTCTGTTTTGTTAACAATATCCAATACCATGATAGTTTTGTTTCTATATACACTTTTACATTCCTCTAGTGCTTATTTAGCAAGCAATATAGACATTTTCTTCCGTATTCCTATCCTTTTATTCTTTTTCTTAATTTATTCTTTCTCCTTCAATTTTTTCGATTATATTTTCTGTAGATGTTTAGTATTTTCATTTAATTTTTTTTGTTTCTTATCGATATTTCTTTATATTATACCTTATTCTTGGTATTTCAATCATATAATTCATTAATTTGTCTTTATCGATATGACTGTAATCCTTTTGATTTCTCTATATATATTTTAAACTTCTTTAACTTTTTTTTCAAGATTAGTAAAAGAATTCACAGTCACAATATTATTTAGTAGTACCAGGATGCTGACTACCTGGACTGGATTTAGCTTAATATCAAATTTAGTTTTTATATATATTTTTTGGTGAAGTACTTCTTTATTTCTTTCTTGTGAGGTTATTTATAACTAATCTATTTCTTTTTTCTTGCTAATTTTGATTTTTCTTCTATTTTCATCCTCTTTCTTATCCTAGATTTTAACAATTTTTTAAAGCTTCTTTTTCTACTTCTATCTTATTTCTACAATCCAATTCAATAATTTTATCTACTTGATCCACTTTAGCTGATTTCTTATTATCTTTATCAGCTTTATTATTGCTTCTACTATCAAATTCAATCACTTTAGAATTATCTAAGTGAGCTTTAAATATTCTTTCAAAACTATCTATGTTAGCTAGCTTTTAATAAAGTTTAATACTTTTTGTTCATTTTCTATATAGATTCTAGGTATCATATTTTGTTAAATAGGTTTTTTGTTCTGGAAGTTCTTATCTTTAGCTATACTAGTGCTATTTTGATAATAGAATTTAAGGCTATATTGCCTGTTCAGCTTCTGCTTCTAACAGTTCTTAGATAAATTATTGCTCATATTTTTTTGTATTATGAGTTACTTTAAGTACAATATTTCATCATACACTATTAATCTATCAAACCAACTTGCATAATATATAGCTGCAAATCCTCTTTTACAAATCTCTTTAATATTAGATAATCTATTGAATGAAATCTATTCAATCATATTCATACAATTATATACTGTCTTGGCAGATTTGAGATAATATATAAACTCTTTTTGCTTGCCAATTTTGATGCCAATTTCTAAATTATAACAATAATCAACTTGATAAATTTTGTTTGAATTATTTATTATCTTTTTCAACTTCAATTCCATATTCATAACAATATCTAACTTTTTTTATTGCAACATTATTTCTTATTTTAGCAGATTTTGATGATAAATAGAGGCTTTTAATAAGTATATACTTTATGCTCAACTATTTTGACAACAGTCGACATTGCTGAAAGTTTCTTTAGAGGATTTGCTCAAATAATTTTTGATAGTAATTAAGCACTTGAAGTTTTCAAAGATCTTTTACATCTACCCTATCTATATATGTATCATTACTATATCTATATTAGTAAATTTCTAATAATGACTATTTACTTTATTTTTATTTGGTTTAACTTCTTTTTGATTCTTTTAGGTTATTAGAGAAGTTCTATCTTACAGCTAGGATTACTAGAATATTTGGGTGTTTTGAGAAGTTCTATCTCATAGCTAAAATTACTAGATTATTTGAGTATTTTGAGAAGTTCTATCTCATAGCTAGGATTATTGGATTATTCAGGTGTTTTGAGAAGTTCTATCTCACAGCTAGGATTACTGAATTATTCAGGTGTATTGAGAAGTTCCATTTCACAGTCATCACCAAATTGTGAGAAGCAGAATTGACCCAGTCTTTTCAAATATAGTCCTTATGAATATCAACTAATCTAAATCAACACTCTAACAACTAAACTTTATCTAAACCCTAATAGTGGAAGGCATGAAAGAGGTGAAAAAAGATTTGGTCTAAATTATTAGGGCCAAATAGAGCTATAGACTACAACACAAGGCTCTAATTCAAATCACAGGATTAAACTACTAATTCTATATAAATTGAACTTATCAGGAAGGTAATTATAGTGAATGTTTAAAGTTGGAATAATGAACTCTTTATTAAATTAAACTCTAATAAATTATAAGTATAGAATATTAACTAGTGATAGCTAGTCATTACTTTATTCAAGGCAAACTCTTAGCCTTTATATACACTTTTTAGCTGTTATTTAATTTGCTAATTCTATCTAATATATATAACATATATAATATATATAACTTATATAACACATATGATATAAATAATAATAATATGTCAGGGTGAAACCCGCACAGCTAGCTAGTAAAACCCGCTTTGATCATAGGGTTTGGGTGAAATCTGCGTTAGCATAGTGTGTTTTATAGGTTAACGCGGATTTCACTCTCATATGATCTGCATAGCAGATTTTACTAGCTAGCTGCATGGGTTTTACCCTGTCGTATAATAATTATTAACTCTTCCCATAGATCACTCTTACCAAAACAGGAACAAAAGAAAAAACTTTCCCGCAGAATTATCTCAAAATTTTATTAAGTAAACTGATACTCGGCTCTTAAGTAAAGT